GGGACCTGTCTGAATTAGAAGACACACACACACACAAACACACACACACACACACACACACACACACACACACACAGACATGATAACGACATACAAGATACTGCGGGGAATAGACAAGGTGGACAGAGATAGGATGTTCCAGAGAGGGGACACAGGGACAAGGGGTCACAACTGGAAGCTGAAGACTCAGACGAGTCACAGGGACGTTAGGAAGTATTTCTTCAGTCATAGAGTTGTCAGCAAGTGGAATAGCCTAGCAAGTGAAGTAGTGGAGGCAGGAACCATACATAGTTTTAAGAAGAGGTATGACAAAGCTCAGGAAGCAGAGAGAGAGAGAGGACCAGTAGCGATCAGTGAAGAGGCGGGGCCAGGAGCTGAGTCTCGACCCCTGCAACCACAATTAGGTGAGTACAATTAGGTGAGTACACACACAAAGTAATATGTATGTGTACTCGTTAGGTGAGTACACATACACCTTTTGAAATGCTTGCATATATTTGCACGTATATAGAGCAATAGTATCCGCATGAGTTATTCACCACAAACACCGCTGAAGACTCGATCCTCAGTCTGCTTATGAGAGCCTTCTGCTTTTCTAACTCTCACTCACATACGTAGATAATACGCGATAGTTCTAAATCAAGAAAGAATTAGTTCTTCCGAGTAGATAGTCCCCGTGCGGACTTCCTAAGTACTCTGCCATCTGTCTTTTCCATGTACTCTCACATACAATATAGCGTCACAGGAGCTATGTACTTGTACTCAAACACTAATTATATTTTAATAATAGGTCACCATGGCTGTATCTTCTCTGTTAATACAAGAGTATTTTTTGCCAACTACCCAGCTGTATCCCACTGAGGCAGGGTGACCTAAAAAGAAAAACAAAAGGGGGCTACTAGCCCCTTGCTCCCGGCATTTTAGTCGCCTCTTACGATACGCATGGCTTACGGAGGAAGGATTCTTCTCCACTTCCCCATGGAGATAAGAGGCTGAGGGACTGATTGCCTCATCTTCTGTACATAGCTGTTGTATTGATAAAGCCACTGATTGACGATATGTCTACAAATAAAGATACCCAGATGTTGCACAGGTGTGTAATTCTCCACCTCTGGTGTAGCTGTGGGGACCCACAGCCTCGGAAAAGTAAATCAGAATGGAAATTGATTGGGATTTCTCCAGAGGCCGTTTAAATATTCCAGCTCCCCCTACCATCTCATTGTTGTGATGGCACAGAAAGGAAAACGAATTGTTTGAGGTGTTATGTAATGTTTATTGCGGTAGGAATGACAGTGGAACAAGGAGAGGCGAAATCTCAGTGATAGGTGCGTTACACCTATGTCTGGATACTTCTCCACATCACTGTTACACCTATGTCTGGATACTTCTCCACACCACTGTTACACCTATGTCTGGATACTTCTCCACACCACTGTTACACCTATGTCTGGATACTTCTCCACACCACTGTTACACCTATCTCTGGATACTTCTCCACACCACTGTTACACCTATGTCTGGATACTTCTCCACACCACTGTTACACCTATGTCTGGATACTTCTCCACATCACTGTTACACCTATGTCTGGATACTTCTCCACACCACTGTTACACCTATGTCTGGATACTTCTCCACACCACTGTTACACCTATGTCTGGATACTTCTCCACACCACTGTTACACCTATCTCTGGATACTTCTCCACACCACTGTTACACCTATGTCTGGATACTTCTCCACACCACTGTTACACCTATGTCTGGATACTTCTCCACACCACTGTTACACCTGTCTCTGGATACTTCTCCACACCACTGTTACACCTATCTCTGGATACTTCTCCACACCACTGTTACACCTATGACTGGACACTTCTTCACACCACTGTTACACCTATGTCTGGAAACTTCTCCACACCACTGTTACACCTATGTCTGGATACTTCTCCACACCACTGTTACACCTATGTCTGGATACTTCTCCACACCACTGTTACACCTATGACTGGACACTTCTCCACACCACTGTTACACCTATGTCTGTCCTCAAGCAGGCACTGGACAGGCACCTAAAGTCAGTACCTGACCAGCCGGGTTGTGGTTCGTACGTCGGGTTGCGTGCTGCCAACAATCACAGCCTGGTTGATCAGACCCTGATCCACCATGAGACCTGGTCACAGACCGGGTCTCGGGGGCGTTGACCCCCGGAACTCTCTCCAGGCATACTCCAGGTATACACTTCTCCATACCACTGTATTACACCTATTTGTATGGTTCTTATGTGCGTCTTAGAGGGCAAAAGATACAACTCGAGACGTGTGTATGTTGTATCCTCCGGCCAGTATTGTTATGTATAGTGAAAAATAAAGAACAAATTGTATTTATTCCTTTATTAAGCCATCAATAAAGTGGCCCGGTGGTCTGGTGGCTAAAGCTCCCGCTTCACACACGGAGGGCCCGGGTTCGATTCCCGGCGGGTGGAAATTCCGACACGTTTCCTTACACCTGTTGTCCTGTTCACCTAGCAGCAAATAGGTACCTGGGTGTTAGTCGACTGGTGTGGGTGGCATCCTGGGGGACAAGATTAAGGACCCCAATGGAAATAAGTTAGACAGTCCTCGATGACGCACTGACTTTCTTGGGTTATCCTGGGTGGCTAACCCTCCGGGGTTAAAAATCCGAACAAAATCTTATCTTATCTTATCTTATCTTAATATGAAACAAAATCTTTTGACTATTGCTAAACCTGATGTAACCTGATGTGACATGATGTGACACGATGTAACACGATGTGACACTCGGGATGTCACAAGGGTAAGAAATGCCTTGTTTAAGAAAGGGGATGTAGACCTCTGTACAATACAATCACATTCATTATGGATAATGAATAGGATTCTGTTGATTTTCCTTTCCTCTTCCAATCCTGTCTTCTCCTCCTTTATCCATGCCTCTTTTCTCTTATCAGAAATATTAAATATATGTGAAAGCAGCAGGCCTATAAATTATGGATGTTAAATTGCCCAAAGATCCTTAGATTTGACTCGTAGAAACCATACCACGGGTGGGGTTAGAACCCGCGATCAGAGATCATAAAACTCCAGACCGACGCGTTAGCCACTGGGTCAGCTGGCTATAATAAGATTCATCCAGCTAGGTATATTTATACACCATAGGAAGGTTAGCATAGGCCACCACTGTGACCACTAATGCAAGTGTCATTACGATTAAGTGAGTCATGTTGACTCGGAGACCCAGAAGTAGTCACGAAAGTTCTCTAATAGGGGCCAAGAGATGGAGCTTAGGCTTGAGATTTTACCAAGACAGGTTCCAGAGTAGGGGTAAAAGAACCTCTGAGAAGGGAGCCCAGGAGGTAGAGCTATTCTAAGCCAAAGTGTTTCATATTCTCTGTTAGTTTGGTATCTCTGATGGGAGCATAACAGGGTGGAGACGGGAGGTCTAACCAGGCAGGGTGGAGACGGGAGGTCTAACCAGGCAGGGTGGAGATGGGAGGTCTAACCAGGCAGGGTGGAGATGGGAGGTCTAACCAGGCAGGATGGAGACGGGAGGTCTAACCAGGCAGGGTGGAGACGGGAGGTCTAACCAGGCAGGGTGGAGACGGGAGGTCTAACCAGGCAGGGTGGAGATGGGAGGTCTAACCAGGCAGGGTGGAGATGGGAGGTCTAACCAGGCAGGGTGGAGACGGGAGGTCTAACCAGGCAGGGTGGAGACGGGAGGTCTAACCAGGCAGGGTGGAGATGGGAGGTCTAACCAGGCAGGGTGGAGACGGGAGGTCTAACCAGGCAGGGTGGAGATGGGAGGTCTAACCAGGCAGGGTGGAGACGGGAGGTCTAACCAGGCAGGGTGGAGACGGGAGGTCTAACCAGGCAGGGTGGAGATGGGAGGTCTAACCAGGCAGGGTGGAGACGGGAGGTCTAACCAGGCAGGATGGAGACAGGAGGTCTAACCAGGCAAGGTGGAGACGGGAGGTCTAACCAGGCAGGGTGAAGACGGGAGGTCTAACCAGGCAGGATGGAGATAGGAGGTCTAACCAGGCAGGGTGGAGATGGGTGGTTTAACCAGGCAGGGTGGAGATGGGTGGTTTAACCAGGCAGGGTGGAGATGGGTGGTTTAACCAGGCAGGGTGGAGATGGGTGGTTTAACCAGGCAGGGTGGAGACAGAAGGATCAAGACAAGGTGGCAGTGATGGTAATGGTGACTGCGGTACATGGGAGTACATGATAGTACATGGGAGTACATGATAGTACATGGGGGTATATGATAGTACATGGGAGTACATGATAGTACATGGGGGTACATGATAGTATATGGGAAAGGCAGATAACAGAAAACACCGAGAAGAACTATCGACCAGTCAGATGGGTGACTGTACACCAGAACAGACCACACCAACCCCCAAGACCAACCTAGAAGACGGAGACCCTTCCAGACCATGGCTCACAGACCATGCCCTTTTTCTATTTACTACCAGAACATTACAAGGTATACAGACCATAACTGACCTCATTGACATACCACTATATAGAAAGCTCCTTGTTGTGTTGAGCATTTCCCGCAAATTAGGTCAATTTTGTCCCCAGGATGCAACCCGCACCAGCCCACTAACACCCAGGTACCCATTTTACTGATGGGTGAACATAGACGACAGGTGTAAGGAAACACGTCCGATGTTTCCACCCCTTCGCCGGAAATCGAACCCGGACACTCACCGTGTGAAACGAGAACTTTTGCCACCAGGCCACGAGGTACTTCATGTGATAATTACCTTCACTGAACACCTATAATAGTGGCTGCACTCTTCTGTATAGCAGTTACATGATGGGAACACCAAATGTCTGTATTTATTATTATTATTATTATTATTATTATTATATTATTATTGTTGTTGTGAGGTAACACGTAGCGAATTTAAGGCAACTGGGTTCGATCCCAGGGAAGGGAGGAAAGGTTTAAGTCTTGAAAGTGTGTGGCTGTGTTATTTGTGGTAGTTACGATTTGTTGGTACACTATTCTGTTTGATAGTAACATTGTGGGAGCACCCACAGTGTGCTGGAACATTATTCTATATGATAGTTACATTGTGAAAGCACCGACAGTGTGCTGGGACTCTTGACAAATATTTCAAACTTTTTCGTGATTCTGGCAGAGAGGCGTAGCATCCTAGCCATGTACCGGCCTGTAGGCTGGAATAGGCCTGTAGGCTGGCTCTGGGAATCTAGCCACATCCTTGTATTTCACCTCAGCCACGTAGCCTGAATCACCATCCACGTAGTATGTCACGGTCTGAAGACGGCCGTCGGGGAGAAGCACGGAATACGACCCCCGGGTGTGGTCACCATCACGGGATTCTTCGTGAGAAACATCGTTAGCGAAGTCGTCCTTGACAGACCAGTCGAAATTATACTTTACTGGAGCCTGTGTGAGAGGAAAAGCTACATCAGTACCTGAAGGATGCCTGAAGGATGCCTGAAGGATGCCTGAAGGATGCCTCCGGGGGTCAACGCCCCCGCAGGTCGATCCCAGTCCAGGATTTGGATTCAGAAGGTAAAGTGTTTCTTCAGCTATATATATCAACAGTAACGACATACTCTACAATGTAAATTGTGCATTTTCTCAGGACGGATATATTATAATATATATATATATATATATATATATTATATATATATATATATATATATATATATATATATATATATATATAGATAGATAGATAGATAGATAGATAGATAGATAGATAGATAGATAAAAAATCAAACTTACCTTATAGTAGAGGACTGGCTTATATGAAAGAGGTCGCTTTCTTGATTTTAATGTTTGTGTTTGTGAAATTGGCTGGATTCCTAAGGATTCCTGAGCTGCTAAGGATTTATGGATTTCTGGAGCCGGATCGATTGTTAAGGATTCCTGGACTGCTGGATCTGGCTGGATTGGCGAGAATGGTCTAATAGCAGAGAATGGCTGGATGGTTGATTTTCGTCGGATAGGTCGGGCAGCTACCGGTGCTCGCTTGACCGACAGGATAGCAGGGAAGAAAGTCGGTGGCTTGTACGCTCTGGCTAAGGAGGAAATGGAGGTGTATGAAGACTCGGAGTCCGATTCCGGAGCTGGTTCGGGTTCATAGCCGAAGAAGAATCTCCGGGCCGGCCATCGGAGCCGCTGTGGTGGCGGCGGCCGCCAGCAACACCAGCAGCAACACAACCTGAAGAAAAACAGAGCTTTTAAGATCTCAGGGTAAACTATATTAGAATTTACTTGACTCTCAGTGCTTATTAATATCTGCGTGTGCCTTGAACTGCCGTGTATACGAATGTCATATGTGATTCGACAAAGATTCTACTCCGTAAAACCTCATGTGTCACAAAATTCCATACTTTTCTGAGACTTTTAACTTAAACTGTATCTGCATTTTAAACTCACCTGTTCCCACTAAACACCTGCATAAATTATGCCACATGTGCCCAGTATTCCACATATTGTACATGTATATATTTTCGTTTGCTATATCTCCCTTGCCTGGTGCCAGTATATAAGCACCAATCTTCATGCCTGTGCCTCAGAGTCTTCAAGACCACGATGATCTTCACGAACTCCGAGGCTGAGGGACTGTTTACCTCGTTTTTCGTATATAGTTCTACGGTTTTCCCCATATTGTCCTTCAGTTTGTATTGATAAAGCCACTGGAGGACGGAACGTCTACAGTAAAAATACCCAGATGTTGCGCTTGTGTGTAATTCTTTATTCCACCTGTGACCGCTATACCACCTGTCTCCACTAAACCACCTGCACTAAATCTCGAAGATCGACTTCGAGTTGAATGTCCTCTCGCTTACAAGTCCATATCAATTTCATCTTTTTCTTATCCTGGTCGACCAGAGGGATAGGCAGATTTGAACAAGATTAGTTGGACAACGCTATTACATTAATTGTGAAGTGTTAACCCCATATGGGTTATAAATTATATGTTAATCAGTAGAATTTCTGTGATACATTGAGCACTGTATCACAGAACACTATCAGCGCACTATGTCTATGGGTAAGCACTATCTATAGACGATTACCGTACCTTCATGGTGTTGGTAGAATGGCTGGCGAGTGAATGTGTGGGCTGCTACCCATCTAATCTGCTTTATATACCCGACCTTCTGCTGCCCTGTCAACCTACTGCTGCTGCTGCTTCCCCTCCTCCTCCTCCTCCTCCTCCTCCTCCTCCTTCTCCTCCTTCTCTAGGAGGGTTGGACAGGGGGTCACTTCTACAGGTCACTAGAGCTATTGGGCGCCCCGCCCATCTCTCACGCCTTGACCTAGAATGACACATACCTACCTCCCTTCCTCACCTGAGGCGCTGGGCACACCATGGGCACTCTAAGCATGGTGCCAGAGTACATGACGTGGATGGTAGACCTCGCCCAGGGCGTGGTAATGCTAGGGACGGGCGTGGGAGTCAAGGTAAGAGTAACTACCGTGGGAGTGATTGGCGTCTCGCAACCGTGTGGGGTAACGCACCAGTCTTCGTACGTAACACCCACCCATGGGCGTGGGAGGGGCGTAGGGTACACGCCCACAATCACACCCAGGGCGCCCATGGAGAAAGGAACCATTACTAACCTGTTTAATAATTACATTAGTCAGTTTCTCTGCGAGAGTCACGGTAACGTCAACACTCCAGTCCTCCAGTGACTGACTTGTTGTTGCTGTCAGAGAGGGAAGAGGTAAACCCGCAGGGGGGTTATGCAATGGGTGGTAGTCATGTTTTGATCCGAGGAAGGGGAGACTAACCCCGGTAGAGCATTTCCTCGTGACACCATCAAACCAGAAGTAAGCCATATTTTATGCCGTTAACCAACAGTAACAATGGTTAACGTATTTGAGAGGCGGGAATCAGGTACACGAGGGCACACCTTGAAATTAAAAGCACATGAGGTGACAGGGATGTTATGAAATACTTCAGGCAGTGGAACGACCTAGACAGCGAACTGGCAGAGGCAGGATCCATACATAACTTAAAGAAGAGGTACGATAAAGCTCATGGAGCAGGGAGAGAGAGAGTGAACCTAGCAACGAACAGCGAAGAGGCGCACCAGGAACTGTGAATCGACCCCTGCAACCACAAATAGATGAGTACACACACACACACACACACTAATAACATGTAACCATGTAATTACTTATAATTACCTTCATAATTACATAATCCAAGATCTATATACGTTTTTTTACGATTACCTTAATAAGACAACCCGTCCTCTCACTGTACATATCAAACGTGTCAATACCAATGTTCTGGGTGACGAGGTAGTGAGCCTGTCACAGTTCCACACAGTGGGGGACCTACATTTTTGGGGCCCCTGAAGCTTGAATTGTTATGGGGGCCCTTTCACATACAGTAAACCCGAAATTTTTTAGGCAATGTGGACTATAGTCGCTTCTGGGGCCTCTCATGGATTAGGGCCCCTGAAGCTTCTGGGGCCTCTCATGGATTAGGGCCCCTGAAGCTTCTGGGGCCTATGATTAGGGCCCCTGAAGCTTCTGTGGTCCTCATGGATTAGGGCCCCTGAAGCTTCTGGGGCCTCTCATGGATTAGGGCCCCTGAAGCTTCTGGGGCCTCTCATGGATTAGGGCCCCTGAAGCTTCTGTGGTCTCTCATGGATTAGGGCCCCTGAAGCTTCTGGGGCCTCTCATGGATTAGGGCCCCTGAAGCTTCTGGGGCCTCTCATGGATTAGGGCCCCTGAAGCTTCTGGGGCCTCTCATGGATTAGGGCCCCTGAAGCTTCTGCGGCATCTCATGGATTAGGGCCCCTGAAGCTTCTGGGGCCCCTCCGGAATTAGGGGCCCCTGAAACTTCTGGGACCTCTCCGGGATTAGAGGCTCTGAAGCTCCTGGGGCCCCTCCGGGATTAGGGGCCCTCAAACTTAAGCCTCATTAGTTTCATAGTAGATCCGCTCCTGGTTCCATACTGAACCTAATGAGCCTAACCTAACTTATCTAAACCTAACTTAACCTAACTAAACCTAACTTAAATTAACTAAACCTAACTTAACCTAACTAAACCTAACTTAACCTAACTAAATCTAACTTAACCTAACTAAACCTAACTTAACCTAACTAAATCTAACATAACCTAACTAAATCAACTTAACCTAACTAAACCTAACTTAACCTAACTAAATCTAACTTAACCTAACTAAACCTAACTTAACCTAACTAAATCTAACTTAACCTAACTAAATCTAACTTAACCTAACTAAACCTAACTTAACCTAACTAAATCTAACTTAACCTAACTAAATCTAACTTAACCTAATTAAACCTAACTTAACCTAACTAAACCTAACTTAACCTAGCTAAATCTAACTTAACCTAACTAAATCTAACTTAACCTAACTAAACCTAACTTAACCTAACTAAATCTAACTTAACCTAACTAAATCTAACTTAACTAAATCTAACTTCACCTAACTAAACCTAACTTAACCTAACTAAATCTAACTTAACCTAACTAAATCTAAGTTAACCTAACTTAACCTAACTAAACCTAAGTAAATCTAACTAAACCTAACTTAACCTAATTAATCCTAATTAAGCCTAACTAAACCTAAATTAAAATCTAACTAAACCTAGCTTAACTTAACTAAACCTAACTTAACCTAACTAAACCTAACTTAACCTAACTAAACCTAACTAAACCTAAATAAACCTAAATAAACCTAATTTAACCTAATTAATCCTAATTAAACATAACTAAACCTAACTTAATCTAACTAAACCTAACTTAACCTAACTAAACCTAACTAAACCTAAGTAAACCTAAATAAACCTACCATAACCTAACTAAAAGTAACTTAACCTAACTAAAGCTAACTAAACCTAACTAAATTTAATCTAACTTAACCTAACTGAACCTAACTTAACCTAATTTAACCTAACTAAACCTAACTTAACCTAACTAAACCTAACTTAACTAAACCTAACTTAACCTAACTGAACCTAACTTAACCTAACTAAACCTAAGTAAACCTAAACAAACCTAACTTAACCTAACTAAACCTAACTTAACCTAACTACACCTAGCTAAACCTAACTAAACCTAACTTAACTAAACCTAACTTAACCTAACTGAACCTAACTTAACCTAACTAAACCTAAGTAAACCTAAACAAACCTAACTTAACCTAACTGAACCTAACTTAACCTAACTGAACCTAACTTAACCTAACTAAACCTAACTTAACCTAACTTAACCTAACTAAACCTAACTTAACCTAACTACACCTAGCTAAACCTAACTAAAGTTAACCTAACTTAAGACGCTATTTAATCCACATTAAATTTCTTTATGCAGTTATAGGCCTATTTCATTATACAGTTATAGGCCTATTTCATTATACAGTTATAGGCTTATTTCATTATACAGTTATAGGCCTATTTCATTATACAGTTATAGGCCTATTTTATTATACAGTTATAGGCCTATTTCATTATACAGTTATATGCCTATTTCATTATACAGTTATATGCCTATTTCATTATACAGTTACAGGCCTATTTCATTATACAGTTATAGGCCAATTTCATTATACAGTTATAGGCCTATTTCATTATACAGTTATAGGTCTATTTCATTATACAGTTATAGGCCTATTTCATTATACAGTTATAGGCCTGTTTCATTATACAGTTATAGGCCTATTTCATTATACAGTTATAGGCCTATTTCATTATAGAGTTATAGGCCTATTTCATTATACATTTATAGGCCTATTTCATTATACAGTTATAGGACCTATTTCATTATACAGTTATAGGCCTATTTCATTATAGAGTTATAGGCCTATTTCATTATACATTTATAGGCCTATTTCATTATACAGTTATAGGCCTATTTCATTATACAGTTATAGGTCTATTTCATTATACAGTTATAGGCCTATTTCGTTATACAGTTATAGGCCTATTTCATTATTTTTATCAATTATTTCTATACATATTTCCCTTTTTTAAAACAAGTTCGTATTGTCAGAGAAAAATTATCCTTTTGACAAGGCATTAAAAATTATATTACAAAAAATATTGGAACAAACGTCTTGTGTACTTACCTATTTGTGGTTGCAGGAGGTCGAGTCACAGCTCCTGGTCCCGCCTGGGTATAACTGTATCGTCATTCCTGGCCCTGATTGGCCCCTTGTCTTCCCCATCAACACTCAGATCTCCCGTATCTGATCTCCCGATAATATCGTAATATTTCGTAGCTCCGCGAGACCTTGACCCGTCATCAGATATTCTTAATATACCTTCAGAAATATTCCAAATTGCCATGGTACGCATACGGTTCTAGCGCTCTCCCTAGATATAATACTACCAATAATAAAGATATTAATAATAATAATAATAATAATAATAATAATAATAATAATAATAATAATAAAAATAATAATAATAATAATAATAATAATGATTTCGTCTCCACTTACACCTGAAAAGTGTAACTTACACCTGAAGAGTGTCACTTACACCTGAAAAGTGTAACTTACACCTGAAGAGTGTCACTTACACCTGAAAGTGTAACTTACACCTGAAGAGTGTCACTTACACCTGAAAAGTGTAACTTACACCTGAAGAGTGTCACTTACACCTGAAAAGTGTAACTTACACCTGCAGAGTGTCACTTACACCTGAAAAGTGTAACTTACACCTGCAGAGTGTCACTTACACCTGAAAAGTGTAACTTACACCTGCAGTGTGTCACTTACACCTGAAAAGTGTAACTTACACCTGCAGAGGGGTCACTTACACCTGCAGAGTGTCACTTACACCTGAAAAGTGTAACTTACACCTCCAGAGTGTCACTTACACATGCAGAGTGTCACTTACACCTGCAGAGTGTCATTTACACCTGCAGAGTGTCACTTACACCTGCAGAGTGTCACTTACACCTGCAGAGTGTCACTTACACCTGCAAAGTGTCACTTACACCTGCAGAGTGTCACTTACACCTCCAGAGTGTCACTTACACCTGCAGAGTGTCACTTACGCCTGCAGAGTGTCACTTACACATCCAGAGTGCCACTTACACCTCCAGAGTGTCACTTACACCTGCAAAGTGACACTTACACCTCCAGAGTGTCACTTACACCTGCAGAGTGTCACTTACACCTGCAGAGTGTCACTTACACCTGCAGAGTGTCACTTATACCTGCAGAGTGTCACTTACACCTGCAGAGTGTCACTTACACCTGCAGAGTGTCACTTACACCTCCAGAGTGTCACTTACACCTCCAGAGTGTCACTTACACCTGCAGAGTGTCACTTACACCTCCAGAGTGTCACTTACACCTGCAGAGTGTCACTTACACCTCCAGAGTGTCACTTACACCTGCAGAGTGTCACTTACACCTGCAGAGTGTCACTTACACCTGCAGAGTGTCACTTACACCTGCAGAGCGTCACTTACACGTGCAGAGTGTCACTTGCACATGAAGAGTGTCACTTACACCTGCAGAGTGTCACTTACACCTGAAGAGTGTCACTTACACCTGCAGAGTATCACTTACACCTGCAGAGTGTCACTTACACCTGAAGAGTGTCACTTACACCTCCAGAGTGTCACTTACACCTGCAGAGTGTCACTTACACCTGAAGAGTGTCACTTAAAACCTCCAGAGTGTCACTTACACCTGCAGAGTGTCACTTACATCTGCAGAGTGTCACTTACACCACCAGAGTGTCACTTACACCTGCAGAGTGTCACTTACAACTGCATAGTGTCACTTACACCTGCAGACTGTCACTTACACCTGCAGAGTGTCACATACACCTGCAGACTGTCACTTACACCTCCAGAGTGTCACTTACACCTGCAGAGTGTCACTTACACCTGCAGAGTGTCACTTACACCTGCAGAGTGTCACTTACACATGCAGCGTGTCACTTACACCTGCAGAGTGTCACTTACACCTGTAGACTGTCACTTACACCTGCAGAGTGTCACTTACACCTGCAGAGTGTCACTTACACCTACAGAGTGTCACTTACACCTGCAGAGTGTCACTTACACCTGCAGAGTGTCACTTACACCTGCAGAGTGTCACTTACACCTGCAGAGTGTCACTTATACCTGCAGAGTGTCACTTACACCTGCAGAGTGTCACTTACACCTGCAGAGTGTCACTTACACCTCCAGAGTGTCACTTACACCTGCAGTGTGTCACTTACACCTGCAGAGTGTCAATTACACCTGCAGAGTGCCACTTACACCTGCAGAGTGTTACTTACACCTGCAGAGTGTCACTTACACCTGAAGAGTGTCACTTACACCTGCAGAGCGTCACTTACACCTGCAGAGTGCCACTTACGCCTGCAGAGTGTCACTTACACCTGCAGAGTGTCACTTACACCTCCAGAGTGTCACTTACACCTGCAGAGTGTCACTTACACCTTCAGAGTGTCACGTACACCTGCAGAATGTCACTTACACCTGCAGAGTGTCACTTACACCTGCAGTGTCACTTACACCTCCAGAGTTTCACTTACACCTGCAGAGTGTCACTTACACCTTCAGAGTGTCACGTACACCTGCAGAATGTCACTTACACCTGCAGAGTGTCACTTACACTTGCAGAGTGTCACTAACACCTGAAGAGTGTCACTTACACCTGCAGAGCGTCACTTACACCTGCAGAGTGCCACTTAAGCCTGCAGAGTGTCACTTACACCTCCAGAGTGTCACTTACACTTGCAGAGTGTCACTAACACCTGAAGAGTGTCACTTACACCTGCAGAGCGTCACTTACACCTGCAGAGTGCCACTTACGCCTGCAGAGTGTCACTTACACCTGCAGAGTGTCACTTACACCTGCAGAGTGTCACTTACACCTTCAGAGTGTCACGTACACCTGCAGAATGTCACTTACACCTGCAGAGTGTCACTTACACCTGCAGAGTGTCACTTACACCTGCAGAGTGTCACTTACACCTCCAGAGTGTCACTTACACCTGCAAGTGTCACTTACCCCCTGCAGAGTGTCACTTACACCTGAAGAGTGTCACTTACACCTGCAGAGTGTCACTTACACCTGCAGAGTGTCACTTACACCTGCAGAGTGTCACTTACACCTGAAGAGTGTCACTTACACCTGCAGAGTGTCACTTACATCTGCAGAGTGTCACTTACACCTCAAGAGTGTCACTTACACCTCCAGAATGTCACTTACACCTGCAGAGTGTCACACCTGCAGAGTATCACTTACACCTCCAGAGTGTCACTTACACCTCCAGAGTGTCACTTACACCTCCAGAGTGTCATACCTCCAGAGTGTCACTTACACCTGCAGAGTGTCACTTACACCTCCAGAGTGTCATACCTCCAGAGTGTCACTTACACCTCCAGAGTGTCACTTACACCTCCAGAATGTCACACCTCCAGAGTGTCACTTACACCTCCAGAATGTCACTTACACCTCCAGAGTGTCACTTACTCCTCCAGAGTGTCACTTACACCTCCCGAGTGTCACGTACACCTCCAGAGTGTCACTTACACCTCCAGAGTATCATTTACACCTCCAGAGTGTCACTTACACCTCCAGATGCCTCACTTCCAGAGTGTCACACCTCCAGAGTGTCACTTACACCTCCAGAGTGTCACTTATACCTCCAGAGTGTCACACCTCCAGAGTGTCACTATCATCTCCAGAAGGTCTCTTACACCTCCAGAATGTCACACCTCCAGAGTGTCACTTACACCTCCAGAGTGTCACACCTCCAGAGTGTCACACCACCAGAGTGTCACACCTCCAGAGTGTCACACCTGCAGAGTGTCACACCTCCAGAGTTTCACACCTCCAAAGTGTCAGACCTCCAGAGTGTCACACCTCCAGAGTGTCACAACTCCAGAGTGTCACACCTCCAGAGAGTCACACCTCCAGAGTGTCACACCTCCAAAGTGTCACACCTCCAGAGTGTCACACCACCAGAGTGTCACACCTCCAGAGTGTCACACCTCCAGATTGTCACACCTCCAGAGTGTCACACCTCCAGAATGTCACACCTCCAGAGTGTCACACCTCAAGTGTCACACCTCCAGAGTGTCACACCTCCAGAGTGTCACACCTCCAGAGTGTCACACCTCCAGAGTGTCACATCTCCAGAGTGTCACACCTCCAGAGTGTTACACCTCCAGAGTGTCACACCTCCAGAGTGTCACACCTCCAGAGTGTCACACCTCCAGAGTGTCACACCTCCAGAGTGTCACACCTCCAGAGTGTCACACCTCCAGAGTGTCACACCTCCAGATTGTCACACCTCCAGAGTGCCACACCTCCAGAGTGGCACATCTGCAGAGCGTCACACTCCAGAGGGGTCACACCTCCAGAGTGTCACACCTCCAGAGTGTCAAAACCTCCAGAGTGCCACACCTCCAGAGTGCCACACCTCCAAAGTGTCACACCTCCAGAGTGTCACACCTCCAGAGTGTCACACCTCCAGAGTGTCACACCTCCAGAGTGTCACACCTCCAGATTGTCACACCTCCAGAGTGTCACACCTCCAGAGTGCCACACCTCCAGAGTGTCACACCTCCAGAGTGTCACACCTCCAGAGTGTCACACCTCCAGAGTGTCACACCTCCAGAGTGTCACACCTCCAGAGTGTCACACCTCCAGAGTGTCACACCTCCAGAGTGGCACACCTCCAGAGTGTTACACCTCCAGATTGTCACACATCCAGAGTGTCACACCTCCAGAGTGCCACACCTCCAGAGTGTCACACCTCCAGAGTGTCACACCTCCAGAGTGCCACACCTCCAGAGTTGCCACACCTCCAAGTGTCACACCTCCAAAGTGTCACACCTCCAGAGTGTCACACCTTCAGAGTGTCACACCTCCAGAGTGTCACACCTCCAGAGTGTCACACCTCCAGAGTGCCACACCTCCAGAGTGTCACACCTCCAGAGTGTCACACCTCCAGAGTGCCACACCTCCATAGTGCCACACCTCCAGAGTGTCACACCTCCAAAGTGTCACACCTCCAGAGTGTCACACCTTCAGAGTGTCACAGCTCCAGAGTGTCAAACCTCCAGAGTGTCACACCTCCAGAGTGTCAAAACCTCCAGAGTGTCACACCTCCAGAGTGTCACACCTCCAAGTGTCACACCTCCAGAGTGTTACACCTCCAGAGTGTCACACCTCTAGGGTGTCACACCTCCAAAGTGTCACACCTCCAGAGTGTCACACCTCCAGAGTGTCACACCTCCAGAGTGTCACACCTCCAGAGTGTCACACCTCCAGAGTGTCACACCTCCAGAGTGTCACACCTCCAGAGTG